GTTGAGTATATCGACATGCCAACACCCACATTCACGAGCTCACTTCTACACTACATTCACTACATGTGGTTTAATCATCACTTACTTTTTCAAATCTACTCAATTCATCGGTTCGACCACTGCATCACCATCTCTGCTTTCAGACAAACCCAATCCAGCCTCGCCGGCATTCAAGTCCAGCAGCAGGCTCTCGTCGAAATCATCGGTCTGCGTTTGCACAACAGCTTTTGGGTTGTGAGCCCTAAAGCCAAGGTCCTGCAAGATGGCGTTAATTCTGTAATTCGCGGTTGAGGGGCATTGGGTTATCAGGTTTGAGTTTCTGGCTGGAGCCTGAACCCTGTGGCCCTGCAGGTTCGGTTCATGTGAGAAAAAGTGGATTGCGCCGATGTGTCGTTGGGTTTAGGGTTTAGGGTTTGGGGCTTACGTTTTGGAGTTTAGGGCTTAGGGTTTAGGGTTTGGGTCCTGCCCAATAGCCCCGCCGAGGGTGCGGTTTTCTTCTGCCAAAGCTGCCTCTCTGGGCAAGCTCTACTCGTCGAAGAGCTGCCGACTGCAGGTCTGCACACTGTACAAAGCAAGATGCTCTTCTGCGGCCTCAGCCCATACAGGATGGGTCCAATAAGTGTCCTATAGGGGCCTTGATAATCAGAATAGGGTTTTGGGGGGTTCAATGTAGTATCACTATACTAAGGAACCCTAAGGAATAAGATTGATAGTTATTTAGGCCCCTATAGTATAACTGAATCATGTAAATCCAACAGAGCAGAGCTCTTTGAAGACCCGTGCTTCAAGGCAATGGAGCATCTACCAAAACTGTGAAAACTCAGACTTTGAGGGTTCAGGGTTTAGGGTTTTCAATCATCGAACCCCACGGAACCTTGCTGCACCGGAAATAGCGTTGAAAGGCGTTTGCCGTCAGAGCGGGCACGTGTCCATCCGAAGCTGCTCCTTGGCAAGGGCAGCTGACTTTCATCAGCCGGAATGGTGCAACCACGACACTGAGTCAAGACCCAACCTCAAAAATGCCAACCCTGACAGTCGAAAGTCAAAAATGCTCTGATGCCTCAACAGTATACTCCACGACGACCCTCCCCTCCACCGAATGATCGAGCATCATGAGCATCAGCTGCGACTGTCCCTAGCGAGTGGTCTCAGCTGCCGCACGTCACGGGTATCTATTGCCAGTTGGAGAATCCGCCGTTCGGCCGAGCATCATGTACATCAGCTGCACCTGCCCTCAGTGCACGCACACCTTTGCATAAATGTGTACAACACATCTTACAGCCATACGACACTGAGTGCTTTATCACCGTAAACTCTGCACCCTAAGACCGGACAATTTTCACAACTCCCGGGGGCGCCTGAACAAGCTGAAACTTCCGGAGCTTTTTGTGTCCTCCCCGGAGTGTCTCTGCCACGTGGTACCCCCTGCGCACGCATCCGTGGCATTCACGGAAAGGTGCTCTCTGGTAAGGTTTAGGGGAAGTTTAGGTTCCGCCACCGCCAATCCTACCCCACGAACCCTAGAGTCACACACGCGGAAAACGCGGAAATCAAAACTCCCAAACCCTGCACACCAGACCTGAAACTTTGGTACTTCTCCAAAAGCTCCAAAAGAGTTACCTTTTGCTGGGACTCTCAAAGTATAATAATCGTCGTCGTCGTCGTCGTAGTAGTAGTAGCAGTAGTAGTAGCACCAATAATGATAATACTTTTCGAAATAATAACAGCAGTTGTAGTAGCAGCAGCATTTCTTACGAGGGAGCCTAATTTACCGAACCACTTGGATCTGGGCTTTCACCTCGGGCCTTAGAATAGGGTTTCGGGGTATGTCGGGGTATCTGATACTCCAATTCTTGTCTGGAGCCAAAAGTCATAAGCAATATTCGGAGTATAATCAGGAGCCAGAAGGAATACCCAGATCTAGATCAGGAGCCATCAGGAATATTCGGATTGTAATCAGGAGCCATCAGGAATATTCGGATTCTAGTCCGGAGCCATAAGGAATATTCGGAGTAGATTATAGTCCAATGATAGTAAGGAACCGTCAGGAAAGGTTTTAGTAATTACTCCGACCCCTACCTGCTAGACAGGTCTGGTAGAGCTTGTGAGATTTGAAGGGGGCTGGACAAGAAGTCATAAGGCGGTTCTGCAGCTTCGTGATTATGGCTTCTGAATTACTTGGGGGTCGGAATTCGATGGACGGTGTCAAATTAAGGGCTTTGGTCTGCTCTCGGCTTCACGGTCGCATCTCGGAGTTACTGGCTTAAACCCTGAACCCTAAACCCTTAAACCCTAAATCCTAAACCAGTGAAACCCCTAAACCCTAAACCCATAAACCCAAAACTCCAAACCCTGAAACCTACTGACTCGTGTCTTTGAGATAGCCGACTGAGGGTTCATCCGTTTCATGGTTTCGTCCTTCGCGTTTTGAGGTGTGTGGAGTTCAATACTTCTAGAAAGACGTGCAATGTAACATCATTTAATATGGTATAACATAGTATGATAAATATTAGGTAGTAAGTGCTACATTTATGTTCGGGCTTTCCTGTTGGACTGGTCATCGGAGAGAGACAAGTCTTGCAGGAGACGACCCTCCAAACACTCCGCAGGCTGGGCTTGGGTTTACCTTTCGGTAGGTTTAGGGTTTAGGGTTTAGGGTTTAGGGGTTTAGGGTTTAGCGTTTAGGGGCAGCTGCAACAACCTGAAAATCAGAAGTCCTTCGTAAGCCCATTTCATCAGCCTGTAAGCTGAGGGCATCCGGCGCGCCATCCTGGCTGAGTCGGCTCCCCCCAACCATCGGCAACCAGAAAAAGTATACTCCTGCTTCCACACCCTCGCATCCGGAAATTTCCACCTGTACTGCTCCCTCATACACCAAGCACTAAACACCACACACCACACACCAGACCCCAGACTCAGACACCAGGCAACGGGCAACAGACAGCAGACGGCAGACGACAGACGACAAACAAGAAATAACAAAAAACAAGCAACAAGCAAAAAGCAACAAGCAATAAGCAACAAGCCACAAGCAGCAGCAACAACAACAACAGCAACAATCACAACCACCACAACCATAACCACAACCACAACCGCAACCGCCACGACGACGACGACGACAACGACACTTTTGTGGCAACAGCACCAGCAACTGCACCTGAACCAGCAACAGCCGCAGAAAAAACAACAAAATAGTAGCCGCAAGAGAAACAACAACACAGCAGTCGCAAGAGAAACAGCAACACGATAATAGTTGCTACGAAGGCCAATGGCGAAACAGAGCATCCTCCCTTCTGGCAGCCTTGCCGAGTACGAGTGCCCACGGACGCCGTTGGCCACCGGGACGCGGCGGAAGCGCCGCCCATCGCTTTTCTTCATGTCCCTGAGGGAGTCGGGCTATACGTAAATCTCACGCCCATACCACTACCAGTACCACTGCTACTGTCACGACCACAACCACGACCAATGACCCCGATGCCGACGACATCGACGACTACCACGACGACTACTACTTCTACTACGACTTCTCCCGTGACAATGGGCTACTTATGACAATTACCAATGTCGTGACCACTTTTGGATGGCTGCATGCTGCAGAGATAATCACTAAGGTTGCTATCAAGAGCATAAAGGAGATGCAGGTCCGCTGTCCGCTATTCAGGATCCGCTATTCAGGAACCTAAGACTCTAAACCCCGAACTCCAGAAACCCGTCTCAACAACCCTACACGCAGGAGCGAAAGCCGAGGCCAAGAAAATCCTAGCGCAAATTGGGCACACTGATCCTTCTTCAGAAGTAGTATAGGGGTCGGAATTTTTAGTCATACAATGTCCTTGTAGTCTCTAGTATAGCTGTATACTGGAATGGATCTCCAAGCCCAAGTCTACTTTATCAGGCACGCAATGCTACGGTCTCAAAGCTCTGACGCCGGGCATCCACTTGCGATTCCGGGTCTTGACCTCCTCGGCCCACTCCCCGAAACCGGTGTAGAGCCTGGTCGAAGAACTTGGGTTATGTGTGTGTGTGTGTGTATATATATATATGTATGTGTATATATATATATATATGGTGTAGCGCTTCCAGGCCCCCCCTCCCCCCATGCTCGGGCTGATTGTTAACGCACCCAGCCGCCAACCGAAAAGAATCACAACGGTCGATGCAAACTAAGAAGATCTACAAAAGAACATCAAGCCAAACAAGCAGTTGAAACAAATAAAAGCAAAGAACATGCGGCACCTAAGGGCAGAACAGCATAAGAGCAGTGGGGCTACTAACAGTCACTCTCGGAATACCAGCAAGCAAGAAGCACATCAGTGTCATTATCCCAGCATCATCGCCATCATTCTCATCTGTGTTGGGAGGTGGGGGGGCGGGGGTTGCGCCATTTGGGTGAGAGTGCCAAAAGAACGTCGACAGTTACGAGGATGATGACGCGGGGCGGGGGGGGGTGTACGGGCTCTACATGAGCATTAGACAGGATCCACTCAGTGTTCATACAGGTTTCAGGATTTCTCAGGGATTTGCAGGCGTTCTATCCTAGGTGTATCAGTGCCCTGTATGCGCTTTACAAGGGATCCAGAAAGGTCTTACAGCCTTTCCACAAAGCTTCTAAGATTGAGGCTTTTAGGCCTACGGTTTGGGATGCCAGGGTGGGAGTTTAGGGTCGAATGGAACGTTGCTCTTGTGGGGACGAAGCTTTTGCTTTAGAATGGTACGACCAAATTTGATACTGCAAGTAGGGCTGCGTAAGGCTACGTACATGTGTGTATGTATACATATACATATATATATATACATATATATATATATGTATACACACTACATGTAGGGTTGCGCAAATAAATATATCTATATCTATAATATATATATATATACATAAATATATATATATATAGCATGTGTATGTATAGAGATATACATATATATATGTGTGTGTGTGTGCGTGTGTGCGTATGTTCAAGGTGTTTTCGCAGGGTCTCAGGGGGATGCGACCAAGCAGCTCAGGACAGCAGATTGAGCACTCGCATATGTAGCAGTCCTGTAAGATGCGGCGCTGCCACGGCAAGGGCAAAGCAAACCCCGCAGCATCGAAGACGCCATGCTTTCTCGGCGGAACCAGCCCGAGCTTCTCCAACTTCAGCTCCAATTCCTTACTAGGATTATTACTAGTATTAGTCATAATAAAGTCATGATACTAGTAGTAATAGCAGCAAATTGTTACTATTACGATTCGTATCATGACTTTACTATCACTAATACTACTGCTACACATCCCAACCCGATTCCCGGTCTCCTGACTCTCCACGTCGGAGTCGTCGAAGCCCCGCACGCATGGGGCGTCGCGCTTCTTCTCGTTCTCCTGGCCTCGAATCAGAGCGGGGCTACAGCAGGGTTCTTGTAGGGCATAGGGTTTAGGCTTCAGGGTTTTAGGGTTTAGGGTTTAGGGGTCTGGGGTTTTGGGTGTTGGGGTTTTGGAGTTTATGGTTTTGGGGATAGGATGGTTTAGTTTAGGGTTTAGGGGTGTAGGGTTTTGGGTTTAAGGTTCTGGGTGTAGAGCTTTAGATTCACAGAGGGTTTGCAGGGCACAGGTCAGGTGGAGAAGCTTCCTACGAGAGAAGTCCCGTTCCAGACACATATGTGAAATGTTCGACGATTCGAGCAGCTCTGCAGAGCTTAAGACCCCCTAAACCCTAAGCCCTAAACCGGGTTTAGGGTTTAGGGTTTAGGGTTTACGGTTTAGGGTTTAGGGTTTAGGGTTACTAAGCCATCTTCCAGAA